GATATAAGCATGAGGTACTCCATCAAGAATACGCATGATAACGTCTGGAGCTGAACTGGGCATATTATCTCACAACTGTAAACATCCAGCATTCTTCTTGAATTCAGATAATTTAGCGGTGAATAGGATTGCTGTCAGTCTCAAAATGAAAATGAAATATGCCTATTTACATAAGTGAGGAGCTAAGGCTTATCATTTATTTACATTCACCATTATTTAGAACCCCGAAAGGATTAGCGGTTTAATGAGTTTGGGCTTTCTTGATATAGAAATAAATTTGCTGAAGACTTGATTGAGTTTATGCAATCGACTGCTATTAAGTAAGCTGGTCACAATGATACAATGTGCACGTACCACTACAAATAGAATTTGTAAGTAGGGACGCTCTAGTGTCAACGCGAGCTACGTAACGGAATCGACGACTTTTGCGTTCTGACGCGCCTTATCAGCCCTTATCAGTTGTAACCACTTTCTATCACCCACCAACAATGTCCCCGTCCCACCCCACATAACACTTGTATGGTTGCTCTGGTGTCAACGCGAGCCAGGTAACGGAATCGACGACTTTTGCGTTCTGACGCCTTATCAGCCCTTATCAGTTGTAATCACTTTCATCACCCACCAACAATGTCCCCGTCCCACCCCACATAACACTTGTAAGTATGGACGCTCTAGTGTCAACGCGAGCTAGGTAACGGAATCGACGACTTTTGCGTTCTGACGCCCCTTATCAGCCCTTATCAGTTGTTATCACCACCAACAATGTCCCCGTCCCACCCCACATAACACTTGTAAGTATGGACGCTCTGGTGTCAACGCGAGCTGGTAACGGAATCGACGACTTTTGCGTTCTGACGCGCCTTATCAGCCCTTATCAGTTGTTATCACTTTCATCATACCAACAATGTCCCCGTCCCACCCCACATAACACTTGTAAGTATGGACGCTCTGGTGTCAACGCGAGCTGGTAACGGAATCGACGACTTTTGCGTTCTGACGCCCCTTATCAGCCCTTATCAGTTGTTATCACTTTCATCACCCACCAACAATGTCCCCGTCCCACCCCACATAACACTTGTAAGTATGGACGCTCTGGTGTCAACGCGAGCTGGGTAACGGAATCGACGACTTTTGCGTTCTGACGCCCCTTATCAGCCCTTATCAGTTGTTATCACTTTCATCATGTACCACCA